CCCATATTAGTCGCCTCTTACGATGCATGCAGTAGGTAACAGCAGGTGTATTCTTTTCTCGATTCCCGAACCATGTTCACTGGCATAATTAATTGCTTCATGCACAATATGTGAAGTTGTAGTTTAACTTATTTATCGCGTGATATAAACTGTTTGTATCATACACGTTATCTGTTAGACATATAAGTCAAGTCAAAAGTCAAAGTTCGAGGGTTTTGTACGAATGCAAAAGTGTGTCATTATCTGAATGTTTTCTTACTATTAGAGGACGAAAACATCTACGTGATTTAAAGAGTAAAGATACTAACGATACAGAAACTAATATCGACCCATTCGAACATTGAAACCTCCCCACAACGGTAAAACATTCAAAAATTAGCATCCCCTTATAATGGTAAAATATTCGAAAACTGATAAACTTTCATTTGTCAAACATAAAGCTATTAAAGCCTATTCATAATGCTCAAAAATAAAAATATTGACATTTCATATTGGCCAACATAACGATATTCCCCACAATGAATTGTATTACCATCTCTAACTAATCAAATATAACAATATTAATTACCTCTCACACTGGTCGAAATTTCAGATATAAATACCCACTAGCAGTCATTAAGATAATGACAAGTCCCTTACACTGGTCTGACATTAGGGTAATGGAACCCCCTCACACTGACCAAACATTAAGGTAATGACACGCCCTCACATCAACATAAAGGTCATGACACTCCCACACACTGATCAAACATTAAGGCAATGACACTCCCTCATACTGATCAAACATTTAAGAAATGACACATCCTCACACTGATCAAACATTAAGGTAATGACATTCCCTCACACTGATCAAACATTAAGGTAATGACACTCCCTCACAATGGTAAAACATTAAGGTTATGATACTCCCTCATACTGGTCAAACATTCAGGTAATGACACTCCCTCACACAGATCAAACATAAAGATAATGACACCCCCTCACACTGATCAAACATTATGGCAATGATACTCCTTCATACTGGTCAAACATTAAGGTTATGACACTCCCTCACACAGATCAAACATAAAGATAATGACACCCCCTCACACAGATCAAACATTAAGACTATAACACTCCCTCACACTGATCAAACATTAAGGAATGACACTCCCTCACACAGATCAAACATAAATGTTATGAGACTCCCTCACACAGATCAAACATAAAGATAATGACACCCCCTCACACAGATCAAACATTAAGGTAATGATAATCCCTCATACTGGTCAAACATTAAGGTAATAACACTCCCTCACACAGATCAAACATAAAGATGATGGCACTCCCTCATACTGATCAAACATTAAGGTAATGCCACTTCCTCACACAGATCAAACATTAAGGTAATGACACTCCCTCACACAGATCAAACATTAAGGTAATGCCACTATCTCACATAGATCAAACATAAAGGTAATGCCACTCCCTCATACAGATCAAAGATAAAGGTAATGACACTCCCTCATACTGGTCAAACATTAAGGCAATGACACTCCCTCACACAGAACAAACACTAAGGTAATGACACCCCCTCATACTGATCAAACATTAAGGTAATGCCACTCCCTCACACAGATCAAACATTAAGGTAATGACACTCCCTCACACAGATCAAACACTAAGGTAATGACACTCCCTCACACAGATCAAACACTAAGGTAATGACACTCCCTCACACAGATCAAACATAAAGATAATGACACCCCCTCACACAGATCAAACATTAAAGTAATGACAAACCCTCACACAGATCAAACACTTAGGTAATGACACTCCCTCATACTGATCAAACATTAAGGCAATGACACTCCCTCACACAGATCAAACACTAAGGTAATGACACCCCCTCATACTGATCAAACATTAAGGTAATGTCGTCCCCTCACACAGCTCAAACACTAAGGTAATGACACTCCCTCACACAGATCAAACACTAAGGTAATGACACTCCCTCATACTGATCAAACATTAAGGCAATGACACTCCCGTCATACAGGTAAACAATCTAGACAAATTATTACGAATGTAACACTGTCTCACACTGATAAAGCATTGATAGAGAACTTGAAGCACCCTCGCACTTTGATTGTTGACTTGCCCTTATCTGCTTTACAGATAACACATATACTGCATACATTCACTATCATGCGACAGATAAATAGAGGCATGATGATCTTACATATATTTTCATTTCAGAATATTGTACGCCGCAACAAATATCTTCTTACAATGTTAACACGTCATATAGATAATGACGCTTAAGAATCATGAGAAATTTCACTATTAGTTTGAATTAAGTGATGACATTCCGTAGAAAATATGACTACAAATGCAAAGAGTATTAATTCACTACTATACAAGAGGTGTCTAGCACAGGCGAATCACCCACAACAACTTTTGACAAGTGTGAGCGAATGTTTTTACGTATTTTCTTTTTATTGTTTTTATGCGATATGATAGGCCTGTTATCCTATTAGCGTTCATACCAGCATGATTCGTAGATTTACATTCTAACTGTATACAGCTAGTTGTAAGCTAGCTAATTAATGAGTATGTTTCCCTTAATATTTGTGACATTGAAGTTTCCATAAGTTTAAATGAAGTTAGTATAAATGACCTTCCCAGGGCAGTATAATGCAATATGAAATTTGCATTATGCATTCAAAAGTGTAAAGTTCGACTTCGAAGTTTGTATTCGGATCTTTTATGTAGAACTTGTGTTCGATTCTTGTACCTGGAATTTGTGTTCGGTGTTTTGTATGTTTTGTATCTACAATATGTGTTCGATGCTTCGTAACTAAAACTTGTGTTCGATACTTTGTAACTAGATTTTGTGTTCGATGCTTTGTTCCTAGAACTTTTGTCTGGTGCTTTGTATATAAGATTATTAGTTCGGTGTTTTGTATCTAGAAGTTATGTCCGGTGTTTTGTATAAAATATTTTAGTTCGGTGTTTTGTCCCTAGAATGTGTGTTTGGTTCTTTATATAAGAGATTCTTGTTCGGTGATTTTTACCTAGAATTTGTATTTGGTGGTTTTATTAAGGTCTTGCATTGTGTTCAAACCACGGTGTTATCTAAAGTTTGTGTCTGGTGTTGTGTATCACAGGGACCTGGGAATGTGTTACTTCTATATTAGCTAAACTAAGGTGTTCATGTTCATTTGGGACTTAATTAAACAATCATAAAATCACGGACATTATGATAGTTTAGGTCTAAAATTATCAGGTTCCTGCGAATAAACCTACCATGTACAGTATACTATAAATTGACAGACGATGCTAGTATCTATGATACTATAGTATATATTTAGGTGTACTATGACCCTATCAGTCAGCCCCTATAGCACATATGTGTACTAGACATTTCTAACGAACACCGTGTGGTTTAAAACTAGGCCTAATGTTTAATATAAATTGCTCTATACAATCTGCCGTTTACTGAAAATCATTTAGATACCTGGAATCCACTTGTGTTTCACTTTCGTTTTTGTTTGCATATATATACCACTGCGCGCGTGCAAACAACAGAACGACCGAAGCTGCAGACTGCGATTGAAAATGCAGGGCTGAAGCAATTAACCAGGTAATAACGATTATAGCCTTAAGTTTTCTGGTTAATATTCAAAACGCTTTTATAAACCTGTGTGTTGCTGATTTTTTTTTTTTTTTTTTTTTTTCAAGCATTTTACTTCCCCAGCACATTTAGGATACTGCCGAGGTTGGGGAGCCCCGGGATCAGCATCTGCACAATCATGTGTCCTCATACAAGAGGGCTATCATACTTTCTTTCATACTTACTAGTAATTATATTATTATTTCTTTATTTTTTCACTGCCTTATTTAATATTTTTACTTACATTCAAACTTACATTCAAAGTTACCGTACACATTATCCTTACATACATATATGCAAACACTCCCTTTGCCGCGCCACCAGGTGGATTACCCTGTACTGGGCCTCACTTCCGGGACAAGTCGGCCTTGACCTTGGCTGTGTGTATTAATAGTAGCAAGATGGAAACACGCCGCGCTGTGGTAATATAAGGCAGTCCTAAACGTGCTTGTAAATCATTCGAGTATGTCTAACATGTTTGTTTTGATTTTTCTATTGTGAAAGGTGTTTTTTTGGGGGGTTGATATTGATGAAGCTGTATTGTAAGATCAGCTTATTTGTTTCTGTGAAGACGCGGAACTCGTTACGCTAAAACAGAAAGTAGAAATGTGGATCGCTATGATGAGTAGGTATATACTAGAAACACTCTGGCCTACAATATTTCGTTATCATTATATTAACTAGTGTATCAGATGCTAGAAGAAAAAAGGTTCAGGTCTTTTTTCTGTTGTATTGATTTCGTTTTCCATAAATAGTTTTCCAGATCTTGTTTCAATATATTTATAACATTTATTGATAAGGTTTTGCATTCACTTATGTGGTATGTTCTGTAAATGGAGTATCCTATTAGTGTATATATAATGTTGGGTGTTTCATATACAGGGACGCTGATGTTGTTTCCCATTACTATAAATTCTAACATTCTGCTTTTGTTTATTTTACATGTTGACATTGCTGAATTTATCTTTTCCCAAAACGTTTTTAAATAGGAGCATTCTACAAAGTAATGCTTATAGTCTTCACATTTCCCACAATGTTTACAATTTGGGGTGTTTGAAATTTTCCATTTTTCAAGTTGTTGCTGTGTAGGAACTATTTGATTAATAAGTTTATATTTAAATTGAACAATTCTGTTATCGTGTATTTTCTTGAATATGAATTCTGATATTTCAGACCATCTTGATTTTCTTATAGATGTATCAAATGTTTTATTCCACGCTTCATATATATAGGGTTTGATAAATTTCTGTTTTATTAATATGCCGTAGGAAGTTTTGCTGTTTAGCTGTTCTATAGAGATTGTTTTATCGGTAGTGCTGTCTAAAACTTTCAATTGTGTTTTGTAGTGTAATGTTGGGTAGGGTGTAAGTTTGAGTTTATTCATCCATTCCTTCGGTATAGCCTGATTAAATTTACGGTAAGTCTTTTGAAGCTATTTAAATAAAATTCTACTGTCCGAACAATACAGGAAGTTTTGTGGGTTATCATGAATCAGTTTCTTCAAATAAGGAAGTTCATAGAATATAGTGCAGTGTTTTTATGGACGATTTGTCTGTTCATACATGTACTCTGGTCACCATTTCATATGTATCCAGATGCTTTTTTCTAGCCGTCAATTATCCTCCTATGGTATTTGTATTCCCCAATGAGATCGCAAACTGACTTTGAAATTTCAGGAAGACGGCAAGATAGTAGACCATTTATATACCTTTACTGGACACATAAATGATTATTATACTTAGCCAGCAAAAAATATCAGGGGGAGGTTTATGAAATTATAAGGGATATATATTTAAAAGCCATCAAAAATATCTGGGGAAGATTTGTGAGATATAGGGGATACATGTTTAAAAGCCAACAAAAAGTATCCGAGGGAATTTAATGACCTCATATAGGGGAATATATGCAAGAGCAATCAAAAATAAAAAATAAAGTATCTGGGGGAGTTTTATGTGATATTGAGGGATTCAAGGAATTTAAAGTTATAGACCCGTTTGGTTGGGTGTCAAACTCAAAATATACACAATCAATAATAAACTATATTGTATGTTATATTTATTGGGAGATGTGGGCCTTAGTATAGCCTGTTAACACTACCTGGCTATAGAACAGACCAAAGTACTAGTCTTGTCCCACGATCAATGGTCCCGGGGTATATATTGCTGTGGGGTGTTATTGTTGGGTATTGTTCATGTTCAATGACTCTATTTGATGTATTTGATTGAATAAAACTGCCACGAATCAATTTTATGCTGTATTTCATATTCAGTAGCTTATGGTGTGTTATAGCATTTGTCTTCAATATTTTTCATAATATGACATACCTGCTAACCCCTAAGTCTCCCAATAGGGGTCATGATCCCACTTGGGAAATTATGTGGGGCGTGATAAATCGCGACAAAATTCTCGCGCCGTCACGGCATAACATACGTTGTGTCTTCTGCTATGAAAAGGACATTTTGTTTGATTACATAGAAGCTCCTCTATCTATTTCTCCCTCTCATATTTATGTACTACATTGGGAATCAGACTGCCAGGTTGGAAACTGGAAAATAAATAAAAAATCAAATATGTATTTATGTTAAATACAGGTATTTTTAAGCAATGTTGCGATCCATATCCGGAAGCATTTTGATGCAGATTTTGGTAAAAGGATCATGATCTGCCATTGAGAAAGAAATGTGCTCAGCATTAAGGTTACTACATAACGACTTTGCGTTTACAACCTGCGTTTACAACTTCGCGGAAATCGTTAATTGTTCGTCTTTTGATGTCATATAGAGCACACGAACCTACAGAAAATATTTAAGCATATGAATGATCAGGCTCAACATTAATATGAAGCCACTCAAGCCCACCATCATCTGATTCGTGGTCCGTGGTCCGTCGTCCTTCCGTAAACAATTCTTGTTATCGGTATTTCTCAAGAAGTGCCAAAGGGATCTTTCTCAAATTTGATAAGTAGGTTCCCCTTGGTCCCAAGCTGTGCAGGGCAACTTTTGAGACTGATCGGATAAACAACATGGCCGACATGCGGCCATCTTGGATTTTGATAATGAAAGTTTGTTATCACTATTTCTCCAGTAGTACCAGAGGGATCTTTCTCAAATATTTTAAGTAGGCTTCCCTTGGTCCCTAGCTGTGCAAGGCAACTTTTGAGATTGATTGAATAAACAGCATGGCCGACAGGCAGCCTTCTTGGATTTTGACAGTGAAAGTTTGTTATGGCTATTTCTCAGGAAGTACCAGAGGGATCTTTCTCAAATTTTGTATGAAGGTTCCCCTTGTTCCCTTGTTGTGCAGCAGTGTCTGAAATGGACGGTGGCTCGCTCGCCAATGGCGATTAATGTCTTGCTCGGGCGACCAAAAGTTGTCAAAAGTGAGGTAGTTACTGGCCCAACAAAATAGTTTGTGCGACTGTCGAAAAATGTATGAATAAAAGAAATTATAGTCCCTTCCACATTAACTGGGGGGCAGTACATTTTTCATTTGTCATTACTTCGATTTGAATCGAAGTGTCTGTGATTTAGAAAATGTGATGAATTTTGCCAGGGTGCCTTCTATGTTTTATTCTGTTTTACATATTACAAACATTGTCATGTTAGATGTAATTTAAATGTGCTGAAGCATTATGTCAAATGCTGTGGGAATATTTCTTCCCAGAAATATTTGGGCCACCAATATGTCATTTGGGCCAGTGCTTCATTTTTTTTACTCGCCCCCAATTATTTTTTGGGCCAGCCAATGTAGGTTCCCCACTATCCTTTATTGTT